AACTTTTATGTGGGGAGCTGCCGTATTTCAATGTGTTTCTTAACGACCAATGAGTCGACATATCGATAGCTTACAAGGCTACATAACATATATTAAGATTGGAAATAGTTTAGCTCACAGCAATCGGTATTTTGAAAACAATTCCAAATTAATTTTAAGTATATTATCTTCTTAACTCATATGACCATATTCTGTTCCTCTCCATAGGTTTGTATATACATGTATATACAAATAGATGTGTATACCTTTAGAATTCCATTAAATTCAGTTGCCTGACCATAAAAAATAAAAAAATAATGCTGCAGCAGCAGCTTTGGGCATTTAACGATTTGCGACCAATTAAAGCCGCATAATTTCTGGCCGCCTTTGCGCCTGGTTGGGCCGTAGACGTGTCTGCATTTTTTGTGTCCTCTGGCCCAGCCCCAGACCGTCAGCCACTCAGTCGCCCCCGCCACCAGCCGCGCAGGCTGTCCCCGGCATTGTTGGTGTTGGCTAGAAATTGCAATGTCATTGTTGCGAGTCAGCGGGCGGCGACTGGACACAAAAACCATGTGGCTAGTAATTCATTACCCCGACCGCGACACACACCCACACACACCAACACACTCTAGCACACACACTCTCACACATATTTATACGACAACTCACATAGCCGCCGACGCCATTTAATGTGCAAACAAAAGGCGCTGGCACCACAAAATACTACAAAAACGAATAAAAGAGGAAATAAAACACAAAGAATAAAAGCCAAAAACAGAAAGAAGAGCTTGTCAAATGTTATGAAGTATTTGTAAACTGCAGACAATGGCAAAAAAAATGCAATGGAGAACACAGAGAGAAGTGGAGGAGAGAGAGAGAAAAGGAGAGAACAGAAATTGCCCCGCTCTACGCCATGCTAAAAGTTAAAATAACGAGCGATAATTAATGGAATGACAACATAAAGCAGGCAACAATTTCAACAGTTTCCATTGCTGAGGCGTTAGGAACTGCAGCCGAGCCGACCGATTTCTACTTCTGCTCCCACTCCCACTTCCCCTCCTCCACTCGCTGCTCCTTCCCCTGCTCGCTCTGTGGCAGCTGTGAATCGTTATCGAGGCGGGCGCGCGAAATAAAAATTGAAGCGGAAACAGCCGCATTGCCATGTGAACGAACGGCATTGAATGTGAATGTGAATGTGAATGTGAATGTGAATGTGAATGAGCGAGTGTGGAGTGTGGTGGGTGGACTGTGAAGTGTAGAGTGTGAATGGTGCTTCGAGCAACCGGAAATGCATTGTTTCACGCGCGATTTCATTCTAGTATTTATTATGAGCAGAAGTGTCCGCAGAGCCTCCATCTCGCATACGATTTGAAGGCACGGCCGGACAGTAAGGCATTTAATTAATGCAAAAGTAATCAAAAATAATTAAGTAGAAGTGAATTCCAAGTGTCTGCGGACTATGTGAACAATGTAATCATCTGAGAATAGAATAGCTGGGAATTGCATTTGAGTTCTATTAGATATCTATATAAATAAAAGATCATTGACATTATTCTCTTTAATCTAAATTATTCCTATATTGTCTACTAATTTTTTATATAACAAAAATTTATATTTATAAATTGCTTAACTAAGCTAACTAGTTATATTAGTTCCTAATTAACATAGTTATGATTCCTTCTCACTCATTACACTTTCTTTCAATTCAATTTCATTTCTTTTTCACAAAATAAATTTGAATCTTTATAGAATTTCAGTAATTTAATATTACATTTTAAAGGTAGAATCAAAAGATTTTTTATTTAATTTAATTAAATTTTGATGTATATTACATAATGCTCCACCTAGTAATTTCAAAAATCAGTCAAGTTGAAACGGAATTATAAATGTACAATTTGTAGAGTTTCTGGATGAGGGGACGAGTTACTAGATGAGGGGACTCAGATGCGAATCCATTTTTATTTAATTGTTAAAGTGTGTGGCTTTGCATATGTATGTTTGGTTGGAGCCGCTGCTTAGGGAATCTCAAAGTTGGGCACTCTCTAGTTATGAGAGCTGCTTACTTGCCTTGAATATAGTTTTTCAAGAGTGGCAGTTGGCACAATAAACTCGTCTATGCACACATTTCATAGAAATTGCGGTCATACGTTGCATCTATCCTTCCCATGCCAATTCAACGCTCGTAGTTCTCAATGGTTTATAAATCGACTCGATAGCTTAATAAGCACTGAATAATTAAGTTAGGAATTTTATTTAAGGGACAAGACCCTGATTATATTAGCCTTGCTGTATTGTCATGATGTCATTCTGCTAAGCTAGAGCTCGCTTGAGAGGAACCTGTCAGCCCGGGATCTCTGAATGTTATGACATCCGTGGATGTTATTAGAAGTTAGACGAAAAGTCATCACAGTCGATCGATAAATTTTTTAATAAAATAGTGCAACTAAAAGCAATAAACAATAATATAATGCAAAAAATCTCTGGGAAGAAACTGAGACAAAATGAGGCCAAATGTCTCTGTAAGTGTGCGTGTAAGTGTATGAGATACCAGATAAATGGCTGTATATAGTATTCTTCAACTCAAATTTTAAAGTTACATGCCTTAAGGCCGTATACTAAAACAGTACGGACTAATACCAAATAAACATATTTTAATTAATCAAATTAATATCATTTTTTATACTTTTAAGAGCTTTAAGAACTTCGATGTGTAGAACATCTTCGAATATTTTCAAGTTGCGATTCCTGCTCGCCGCAATTATGCAAATGTTTTTGATATAACCCGGCTTTAAGCGGCTTGTATTTTGCTGAGCTGCCTGGCTGCCATTGCATTTATTAGCTGAGCATCATTAGGCGAAAACAGCAGAAACTGCAGCAACTGCAACAACATCAACTGTGACAACAACAACAACAACAACGACGACGACAACATTTGCCAGCAATCTCGCTTGCGCAACTTTGCAGACACCTTTTCCTTGGCCGCACAACATTTTCAATTTGCCAGCAAGCAGGATGAGTGGAGCGGGGAGGGGCGGGGTGGGGGCGAGTCATGTGGCCTGGCACCAGGTGGTTACGGTCACAGCGGCACCATGTACGAGCAGTGCGCTGCAGGCGCAGCATCTAGGTGGAGTGCCGTGTCTTGGGGTGGTTGAGGTGGTTGGGTGGCTCGGGTGTTGAGTAGGCGTGGCTGGCGCACAAGCTACGCCGCGAGCTTTGAAACCAAAACAGGCTACGACCTGACGATGTTGACGATGTGGTTGCACTTATTCCCCATGTTTTGCCCAACTTGTTGCTGTTGTTGTTGTTGTTGTTGTCGCTGATGAGGAAATTGTTTTGAAAATTACAAAAAGCTGTAGAGCAGCCAGCTTAAACCAGCATACATACAAAGTGTCAATATACACATACATGCATACATACATATGCTATGTATATGTATATATTTATCGGGACAAAGTTGCCAAATGTTATGCGGGATATTCGAGCAGTTCGCAGTGCCATGTGTCCATAAATATTGCATGGTTCTATATTTAGAATATTTCCTGATGCAACATAGCTTAATGGAGATCAAAATTATGTGTGACCTCCATTCTATAAACTTCGACCTTATTTTGAAATTATTCGTAACTTTTCGATTACAAATATTCAATCGAACTTTAATTTTGTCTTTGCAAATTTTTCGAGATGGACAGTTTTTATTAGAGAACCAGCAGCCCAGGTATCTGCTTGTAGATCATTTCCAAATTAAAGCAACACAAGTGGGAATATTGTGGTCGTAGAATATTACAGTCAACTATCACGCCCCGATAGATTGACGTTTCTTCTTTATATGGAAATCTTTATATTCTTTATATGGAAATCTACTCACATTCTATACCCTTAATAATTCAGGAAACATTCTCAGTTTTTTTTTTATCTATATATACCGTTTCTATCTCCTTAAATATATAAAGCTAGCTCCCTCTAACTATCATTTATATAAACAAGACAGCCAGTTATGTCTTTATATATCAAATAGGGCTACTCAGGTTCAGTCCCTTTAAGTACATGCTTGTAACTGAAAATAGTATACGAATTTTTATACCCTGCACCCAGCATTGAAAATAAGAAATCAGGATATAATGGTTTTGTGAAAAGTATGTAATGGGCAGAAGGAATCATCGCAGATCCCATAAAGTATATATATTCTTGATCAGCACGACGAGCTGAGTCGATATAATCCGTCTGTCCGTCGATCTCAGAAGTTATAAGACCTAGAGAGCTGAAATTTGGCATGCATACTCGTGTGTACCATACGCAGTATGAGCTTGCTTTATTTTGTCAATAAATCATCCGATAACTTTTTTTATCGAGAATAATCGAAAAATTGATTTTGTTTATTCAGCCTTATTGGAATACTATTAAATCTGGAGACTTCCGATTTACTGTGTATATACATATGAACAAAGCAAACATTTTGTAGTTTACAGATTTTCGATACCACGCCCTCTTCGCCACCAATTTAAAAAAAATGCATTTCAAGTACTAGAGACTTGTGCTTTGGAACGTACATACATTTGATTATGATTACGTTGTGAAAGTTTCATTAAGATTGTACGTCTAGAAATTATATTATTCAACAAATAAATTCGTATAATATTGCCCACATTGCAGCGCAGCCCAAGCGCAGTCGCTGCTTACTGYGCMGTYAGCAGWGCGCGTTGYTATAMGTGCGTCTGGATGCATGTGTATGTATGTGTGCATAGAAGAAGTGCAGAATGATTAGAATATCAACTTGGAGGGTTCAGGGTATCTCCCTGGAAGGAAGTTTCGCAAAATAGTTTTTATATGCAACAGCAAAACGCACAAATCTACAAAAATATACTGCATCACTTCGTGATAACAAGTGTTGATAAGCCCATTTAAAGACAGTGAAAGGGAAGCATTCTATAGTGTTTTACCACACTGGCCTAGAAAACTCTCGTTAATTTTAAAGATTTTTTATAAGTTATTTAAAAAATAATAAAATAGTAATAAGACAGTCATATATCACAAAAGTGCAGTAAAATCCTCATATCTTTAAGCCGATCTTGCATGCTGTCAGCAATTCGATTCAGATGAAAGAAGACTTGCTTCTTAGACCATTTTGAAGCGGCTAGATGTGCGCTGAACGTCCAGTGCCTTCCAGCTATATATGCCGTTTTTATGGATCGCACGCAAATAATCCAAGAAATCTTCGTAACTGAAGACTTTCGCAAGATCATCGGGCGTGGCTCTGTGATAGCCGCACAGATTATCGGAGATGAAAGGCCGTTGCATGGGCAGCTCGACCTTGAATAATTCGCGGAGCTGTTCAATGGCCCTGGAACCATCGTCGAATTCCATTAAGAGGTGGTTCGTGCTGTTGGATAAGCAGAGATTACTGAATGCTGAAGACACCCCATGCACTCTGTCCACTTACTAAACTTCATAGATGTAGTCTGGGAACTCTTCCAGCTCGGTGATGTACTTGACAGGTCCCTCAACTCGGCCCGCTTGCAGATCCATGATATATTCGAAAGGCAGCGTCATCAGGCTCACCAGCTTGATGAGGGTCATCGCATACTCAGCCCGTGCCTTCCAGTCGTGCGTGAGCCAGCGCATTGCCACGTAGAGCATCTCCATCTCGCTATTGACGGCCACATTCTCGGAGCTGATCAGGTAGTGAACGTGCTCGAAGGGCAGCTCAACAAACTCCACGCTGGCGACCAGCGTGAGGAAGAAGCGTTGTATGCGATGCAGCATGGTTTTGTCCAGGCCCACCACGGGCAGCAAATGGCGCAGCCGCAGCGACTCGTAGGACACGGCGAAGGCCTGATCCTCGCTAAACTCGTCGACCAGGTTCAGACTGAACCATACCTGCTTGATCAGCGAGTCCACCTCCAAGTACAGAGCTGCGGCCAGCACCTCCATAATGGAGCCGCGCTCCAGTTTCGCAACTGGCTGGTTCAGCCAGTGACAAGTGCGCACCAGGCCCTCCTCCGGCACCCGATCCTCGGGCAGCACCAATTCGCGCTGTCCCCCCTTCACATGATCCATGGCGAACTTCGAGTAGCACATGAAGCGCAGCCGATTCATACGGATCTGCCTGGAGCCGAGCTTCAGCACCAGATCATCGGGATCGCTCAGTTCCCAGTTCTTCAACACCATCGGCACCAGCGGGTACTTCTTCCCCAGGTGAAACTCCTGCTCGGGTACGTCCCAAGTTGGCAGCTGATTGCCGCCACGAAACTCATTCAACGACAATCTCGGCAGCGTCGGCTCCAGGGGCAAGTTTTCCACGCTTTTCAGCAGCTCAGACATTTTGCTTAGAAACTGAAAATTTTGGGAATATATATTTCGTTGAGGCAAGCTACTCAGAAAGTGTGTGACTGATTATAGATCAGATATAGCATGGACTACAAATTATCTAAGGTACAGCTGTAAGCAAACTTAAAAATTATGTTAATAGAAATTCTTAACTCTAAGTTAGTTTTAATTTTATATAAACTCAAGTAAAATGCAGCTCCGAAAGAGATGAGCTAAAGTTTGTTCCTCATTTTGTCTATTTTATTACATTATAATATACTATACTATATTA